ACATAGCGGCATTGAAGTAAATGTACACAGTTGTGCTCCCACTCACTGCGACATTCCTTGTAGGAGTTTGATTGGCATGTTCTACAGGTATGATCTACGGGTACCGCAAATGCGCACCAACATCGTATGGAACAGCAAAACCTAACGAGCTCATACTCCTGACATAGCCGGCCGTCAGCATGCCAGTGCGTGCATTGGAGATCTTTGGAATGGTTATAACTGTTAAGCTGTCTTCCGAATTCGGTGACTACTTACGGCGAGAGCTACTAGCTGAGATCGTTGCAGCAAAGACACACAGGCAAACAGTCATGAAAGGGGAAATTGCCTGTATACCCAAATTTGCTTTCGGCGGCAGGAACCCTGATTACTGACCGTGCATTGAACAGGCATGCTATCACTCCTTAGCAAGGAGAGATTGTCAGATTTGAAACAGCAGCTTTTCAACTTCATCATTTTGAAAACGGACATATCGCATTGCTTTTGTAATGAGGTATTGGGCTCACTAGCGCATCTAACGCCACCTAGCTTGTGTTTTGCTTGCGCACCCAAAGCAATGAGAAATGCTTGCAGGACACATAAGTTTTCTCAATTTCAAGGCCATCATTGACGCTAAAGAGTGGACTTTGTAGTTTGACAGCAGATAGTCCGCGATCATGTCTTGCCTACAACAAAGCAGAGAGTTCCAATCTCAATACTATGACGTGAACCATAGTGTTTGTTTGACAATCTTAAAACGTGTCCGGTGCCTTGGCCTGTCTGTCAACACTTACACCGAATTCATTAAAAAAACTACGTAGCGCAGCACAACTAGTATTTGGCGCGCCGAATGCTCGCAAAAACTTGCTGGACAAACATGACTGGAATTTCCGGGATGGAGTGATATGACACGACATTCCCACAACATACAGCTCTGGCTTGGCACTTCAAAGTAGTACGGAATCATTCAAGAAGAAGATGCTCGCTATTTGTGGAACGAATTGCGTGGCATAGACCCGACCTGTCGCTTGATGGCCTAAATGCGCAAAATGTTTTATTCTGACAACGTCGGCGCGCTTAAGGATTTTGGGATCCGGATGTATGTAGTAGAACACTCTTGTCTGACGTCCCAAAAGAAATGGGATAAATTTGCCGCACCAATGAAATCCACCAGCGTAAATCATGCCGAGTGTCATAATATACAGCTAGCGTTGTGCCACAACTCCTAACGCGGTCAATTTGCAATCTTGGTGCGCTCTTTTCTCACACAATATGTATATAACATTCAATTTTTGTAATCGATTTGGATTGTGGGCATCAAAGGCTCAGACGTTGTTGAAAGCCACTTCCTACCTAAAAGAGCAAATTAATATCGAGAATTCAGGTTCCAAATCACCCGTGTCAAGGTGTCGCATGGCACAGGTGAGTCGAAGCAAAGTAATATATTGGTTCTGAAGTGTTCCACTTCGTTGGCGGGATCAGTGCTATTGGCATGGTTATTATCAATGCATGCCTTAATGTTCCTGAAATGTCTGTTTATGCCATGTTCCTTAGCGTGTTTTTAAGATAAATGTATGTAATACATATATGTATGGACGTCAGGCATTGGTAGGTCCATCGCAATTTGCTAGTTATAAGAAGAGTCCAGTTTCGTCGACTTTATCTACCACAGTCAGCAACCAAGCACCAAAGCGCGCTGCATCTTCATGAACCTTTCTAAACCTTATGAATCTGCATCAGTCGTGAATCCTTAGGTCCATCTTTTCCGTTCGATGCCAATAAACGGAGAAAGCGTTCCAGCTAGCTGCTAGTCAACAACCGAACGTCAAACGAAGCGCGCTGCATTGTCGAATGGAGGGTAAGGTAAAGCTGGAATGGGTCCTGTACCGTGCATCGTGTTCATATCAATGTTTCACACCAGCAGCGTAGTTTCCCAAAATGAGGCGAGGGGAAAACAGCGACAAATTACCCAACCTATCCCCAAAGATGCCATCAAACAAGTTTCGTCCCAGATTTGGCCCACTTTCTTCCCAAAGTTGGGAGGCTATGGCTTAAGTTGAGGGGAGCGGGAGGAAATGGGCTGAAGCTCTCTCCCCAACTCTGAATAGAAAAGTATACTCCTTTCGGCATTACAAATCGACACAGCACCATCGCATCCCACCGCGCGATGCGCCGTTTCCTGACCACACACATTTCACACAACTAGAGTTTCCATATTCTGCCGGTAGGTAGCAGGAGTAGTGCAATGCACTGTCGTGGGGCGCGCGGTACATCATTCCTATGAGCAAAACCAAACGCAAATCAAAACCCACACATTCAATACCAATGAACGCGGCACAAAATATCATTGAAGTGCCTAGCAGAACGCTGAAACAATAAGGAACGGAGATGCAAGAGATGTCGCGTGTCTGATGCAAGTCAATGCCACTTACAGTCTCACAGAGCAGCGTAACAAGCATAGAAACGAGTGAAAACTGTTGCGTCACAACATGCGTACCCAGTAACATAACGCAGGATAGTATGCGCACGCATCAATGGACAGGAATCAGATCCCTCACTGTAGGGGCTGACAGTTGGAGTTCAGGGAACGCCGCAGGCCACGTATTGTTGACGAACCGTAGCGTATTGTTGACGAACCGTAGCGAGCTATGGTTGGTTGCTGAGACGGACCACTAGGAGAGAAACGTGGTCTGAGCGGTGGTGGGTTACCAGCCGAATCATTAGCAAGGGGTGGTGCGACAGTTGCTCGTGACCAACAGCTGTTGGTTCTCCCAATATAGTACATCACTGCGTTGTGACATGATGGACATCTGCAGGTGTCCCTCATGTCTGGGTTTTGCTGTGGCAAGCAAAACTTGAGGCGCACCATGTTCCGGTCATACTTCAGGTGGTTGAGGATTATGAACAAACTGGTGAAGTTCTGGCGAATTTCCCGTGTCAGCCTAGCAAAATGCAGGCAGAAGGTATCCTCGAAAGTATTATCGCGCAACACTTATAACAAGAAATACTTAAAATTGTCTTAGCCGCCAACCTTTCAAACAACTCTCTCAGGGCGTAGTTTCGCAAAGAGCTGGCTTGTGGGGAGGGGGCTAAGAACTGAAAAATTACGGAGCATTCCCCCAGCGTGCGCCGCCAAACGGGCTTCTCCACGAATTACACTCACATTTTTCTCAAAGTTGGGGGGGGGGGGGGCGGAGCTCAAGTTGCGGGTGGAGGGGGCTGCAGCCCCAGACGGGTAGGAGATTGCACCCCTGAACGCTGTGGTAACGCAGCAGCCCGTCTGTTTCTGACATATAACGTCACGTCTCGGGTGACATTTGAGGGGCAGGGGCACTGAAAAAAGTCATCCAAAAAGTAAGATTTTGACCGTGCTAAAACATGAAAATGCATGACGTACCACTTCCTTCATACACGTCGCAAAGAGCGCAAGTCCAGCTCATACACGTTAATTAGTTCCATCGCATAGAGCTGTTTCAGTCAGATCATTGTCACCGGTTTGGCCGCGGCCTCGGCTGTCAAATGCCATTGATGCGTCAGAAAAGCCGCCGCGTGGAGGACCGCCAATGCAAACTCGCGACTTCAATGCCAATGTGTAGCCATTGGTGTACTGGCAAATGAGCGTGCCATTTTGCGCTGACGAAGAAGGTAATCTTTTAGCGGCAGATGTTTTGGGTGATTGCAACCAGGGTCCTATGCAATTCGCACATAAGTTATTTTATCAGCGGCGCGGAGAACCGACAGAAACGTGCGATTTCATCGATAATTCATAGTCCCTTCGCACAGGTTTTTGCACTGGTGAAACGTGAGAATTTGTAGTTCTCATGTTTTGGGCTACTATCACTCATGGATGTTGGCGGCAGGTTTTTTGTGGGCGTTTCGCAGGTGTCTTTTTTTTGGGGGGGGGGGGCGTTATCCGCGCAGACTACTGAGATCTGATATAATCAAGAAAACCGCCAACCAAACGCCAGATCCGTGCTTTTGCTGGAGTGCACCCACGCCATCGCACGCATTACGCGCGCTTTTACCATTGCGGTTGAACGCTCTTTGCCGGGTTGAAATGTGGTGATTTCGTGTCGCTGTAACCACTCGTTGCCGAGATGGAGGCTCAGTTTCCACCCGCCATTGGCTCATTTTTGGGAGCAACTTGCAAATTTTGCATTCCCCATGCTAAACCAATGGGACACGTTTGCACGCACCACGTCCAATGGCCTTTTTAAGACTTCAAACCCTCTTGCTTCTGAGCTTGCCGCAAACGAACTTGGGCAGAATTTTGTGCGGAACGTATTCAAATGTTACCCTGACGGCATGACGTCATAGAAAACGTTCCTCCAGGCGTTTTGCCCGCATTTATCGTACAGAACCGCTTAAAATATGCGAAGTGCTATTGGCCAGCCTTGCTCTTCATCACATAACATCTACATCAGGATTTTTATTTCAATGCGTGATAGGCAGGGGTGCCACTTTCTAAGCCCGTTGGAGGTTCAATGGACAAGGTTGACCCAAGGTCATCGAACACAGCAATCGAAGTTCTACGCAGTTAGCATGGTTATAGTTTCTTTTTCAGTTGAGGGAGGGGGCTTCAGCCCCCTCTCCACCTGGGGTTCAGCCCCAACTTTGGGAAGAAAGTGGGCAAATTCCGGGGAGAAGCCTGTTTGTTGGCATAGCTTGGGCAGGTTGGGCCCTTATTCACTTTTAACCCTGCCCCCAACTCATTTCGCGTAACTACGCCCCTGCCCCGCTAGTAGATAGTACAACATGGTTCAGCGGTACGTGCGTGCATTTCGGTCGGTAATAAAATGCTTCACGGCTGTCCCTAGCAGTGGCAAACAATAGTCCCGGCCTGCAACTAACAGCTACCCGGCACATGCGACACGCACCACCCACGGGTAACGGCCTCTAACTGGTTCATCCATCTCATTTCCACCACTTTGTGAGAGGCCGTCATGGCGGTTCTACCGTTCGCTGATTGGTCGGTTGCCTCCTCTGCCACCGGTGGACCACGGCGCCGCCTGACCGGCGGGAGAACGAAGCCATTTGCTCTGTGGAGCGGTTGGGTCAGGTGGTGATCGGAATCCTTGGGCCGCAGACAGGTAAGTGAGGCGATTATATGAACATCGAGGCATATGTTAAGTCCTCTCCGGATATAAAGCCAGGGCGTATGTTTGCTGCCCCGAGTGGCGTCGAGGGCGATCCGCCAACGGGTGGCGGCGTCGTCGCGTTGGCGTTGGCCCGTCCGGCCTCACGCCGCTACCGGCCACTGACCAGCATGGGGCGTGGCCCCGGGCGGGTACCGGGCGACTTTCGAGTGCCACATGCCCAAGAAGTAACTCGCTATCGTCAAGACCGGGCTGCGGTCTGAATTATTTCCTTGGTTATGATGAAGTGAAGAATCTCTGGCCGTAACACGCGCGAAGAACTGACCCGCTCGAAGTAAGACCAGACAGATGAACCTTGTTATGGCCGAAACAAGTGGTCGAACAAACAACTATCGGCTCGCCGGTCGAACAGATGGTATTTTGATACCTTGAATGGTGAATGCCTGGCTGGCATATACCCTGCATTCATAGTTAAAATGTTATTTCTAGACCTCATCGTGATTGGGACATTAACCATGGGTTCATCATTGGGGGGACAATGTAGGTTTTCAAAAATAATAACAGGAAGAGTTGGGAGCACCCCAGTGCGTTTGAAAGGGGCCCAGGCAGGCCACTGAAAGGGTGGCATGCGCCTTGCACTCTGGTTGCACAGCTTGAGTAAATGGTTAATAGACGGCCGCGAAGTTTTTGACCTGCCGGTTCTTGTATGGGTGCCCTTTACAAAAACCGGGTACCGCGTACGTGTTTTCACCAAACTCCGTCATGATCAAATAACGTCTGAAGCAATGGTGAACCATGACGGATGGGGCCAGGGAATTAGACGCGCCAGGCAAAGTAACCGGCGGTGAGGCCCTGCAGAAACGTCGGCGCGCACAGCCAGGCGCGTGCTGGGGCCGGCGCAGCGCCGGCCGCGCGCGGCTGACTCACCGGTCGATAACGGGGACGGGCGCGGACGATGTCCTGGGTACCGAGCGGTCGGGCCTGTCCGACACCGGCCGGCACGTCCTCACCGGTCAGAGCCGTCCTCCGAGGCGGTCACACTGAGCGGTCCGGTCCGACAAAACCGGCCGGCACCGTCCCTCACGGGTCACGCCATCCTCCGAGGCCCGTCACACTGAGCGGTCCGGTCCGACAACCGGCCGGCACGTCCTCACCGGTCAGCCGTCCTCGAGGCGTCACACTGAGCGGGTCCGGTCCGACACCGGCCGGCACGTCCTCACCGGTCAGCCGTTCTCCGAGGCGTCACACTGAGCGGTCCGGTCCGACACCGGCCGGCACGTCATCACCGGTCAGCCGTCCTCCGAGGCGTCACACTGAGCGGTCCGGTCCGACACCGGCCGGCACGTCCTCACCGGTCAGCCGTCCTCCGATGGCGTCACACTGAGCGGTCCGGTCCGACAACCGGCCGGCACGTCCTCACCGGTCAGCCGTTCTCCGAGGCGTCACACTGAGCGGTCCGGTCCGACACCGGCCGGCACGTCCTCACCGGTCAGCCGTCCTCCGAGGCGTTCACACTGAGCGGTCCGGTCCGACACCGGCCGGCACGTCCTCACCGGTCAGCCGTTCTCCGAGGCGTCACACTGAGCGGTCCGGTCCGACACCGGCCGGCACGTCCTCACCGGTCAAGCCGTCCTCCGAGGCGTCACACTGAGCGGTCCGGTCCGACACGGCCGGCACGTCCTCACGGGTCAGCCGTCCTCCGAGGCGTCACACTGAGCGGTCCGGTCCGACACCGGCCGGCGCGTCCTCACCGGTCAGCCGTCTCCAAGGCGTCACACTGAGCGGTCCGGTCCGACACCGGCCGGCACGTCCTCACCGGTCAGCCGTTCTCCGAGGCGTCACACTGAGCGGTCCGGTCCGACACCGGCCGGCACGTCCTCACGGGTCAGCCGTCCTCCGAGGGTCACACTGAGCGGTCCGGTCCGACACCGGCCGGCGCGTCCTCACCGGTCAGCCGTCCTCCGAGTCCTCACCTTCAGCCAGATCCTTCCTCCGAGGTTCCGCGCTTCCTCACCGTCAGCCGTCCTCCGAGCGTCACACTGAGCTCCGGTCCGACACCGGCCGCGCGTCCTCACCGTTTATCGCCTTCCGAAGCGTCACGCCACTCGCCGGTCCGCGCGAGCGCTAAGGCTGCGTCAGAGACGCGTTACCCCTCCCCTGGGACCGCTGATCAAGCAGCTTCGGAGGCGGGTCATGTCGGCTGGCCAGTGGAGCCGTCGTATGAGGACGCAAGTGGCAGTCACTGTCGAGAGGGCAGCTGTCGGGTGGCCACCACTGTCGACGAGGGCCAGCTGTCAGGTGGTCGACTCCGTCGAGAGGGTAGCTGTCGGGTGGTCGAATCTGTAGAGGGGTAGCTGTCGGGTGGTCATCACTGTCGAGAGGGAAGCTGTCGGGTGGCCACCACTGTCGAGGGGGCAGCTGTCGGGTGGTCGACTCCGTCGAGAGGGTAGCTGTCGGGTGGTCGAATCTGTCGAGGGGGTAGCTGTCGGGTGGTCGCCACTGTCGAGAGGAAAGCCTGTCGGGTGGTCGAATCTGTCGAGAGGGAAGCTGTCGGGTGGCCACCACTGTCGAGGGGGCAGCTGTCGGGTGGTCGACTCCGTCGAGAGGGTAGCTGTCGGGTGGTCGACTCCGTCGAGAGGGCAGCTGTCGGATGGCCGCCACTGTCGAGAGGGAAAGCTGTCGGTTGGTCGAATCTGTCGAGAGGGAAGCTGTCGGGTGGCCGCCACTGTCGAGAGGGTAGCTGTCGGGTGGTTGACGCCAGCGACCATCACCGGCGGTTAAGGGTGAAATTCGAACAGTCCGTACGGAGTCACTAGCGGCCTGTCAGATCACAATTGTAAATTGGACACGGCAGTTAAGTCATTTAGGTGTAAATGGATTGAGCAAGGGTAATTAGACAAACCTGCGCCCCCCCCCCCCCCCCAATTACACTAAAAAGCCGTGTCCATCTCAAGCCATTTACGCAAAGATTTGAAGAGAGACCATCTTTAATTCGCACGCTTGCTCCATGAATCCATGTTCAAACACATCTGTTGCTTTTTCATTAAAACTGTCTGTTATCATGCATCCTTTGCTTGCTAGACTCTGCCACAGCATCGCTGCTTTTGAGCAATTTGATATACCGTCCTGTACTAACTCAGATCCTAATACGGTTTCAGTTAGCAATTCTCGGTTCTCAGTTTATTTCAGTGTCTCGTTTTGTTGGGAAGGGTCATATCGTACTCAATAAGTCCGGAAATGTTGTTAAAAAAGCGTGACCGCGTTACAAAGCGTGCAATTGTGTTAACTGCTCTAGTAGTTGATCTCCACTCGCAAAGCGCGAATAAACTTTGTGTCGCCGATATACTCGCCTCTTACGGTCTATTGGCATAAGTCACCGTCCCCGCTTTTTCCAAAGAGCGTCGTTTGTACCGGTTAACATTTGAATGATAAATGACGAATGGCTAAAACCTAGCCAGTGTCTTCACCTTATCGTATATGCCAAGCTACAGGCTGCTTCCAAGCTTAAATGTATGTGAAAAACCCTGAACTTTTCCCCGCTGCCGTTCGCTGTCCCTGTCTTTGTCTTTGTCGCTGATGCCTCTATGCCTGGCCTTAGGGGCGATGGCGTGCCAGAGATTCCACAGCTTTCGACCTGCCACGTTCCACAACTGGTCACATTCCTCAGCAGCACGTAATGGACCACGTGAAGGCAGCCCCGTCGTGGCTGCTGGAAGGTGGGCGCAGTCTACCACAGGGCAGCGCAACGTTTTGTTGAGCCATAGCTGGAGGCTAACTGCATAGGACAAAGGGAGGTGAAGATGTGGATATGCCCCGAAAAGATGGTTTGCAGCGATATTGACAACATTCTCGACAGTAGACTGTGAGTGCTAATGTTGTTTTAGCATTTGAGGATTGACATCTGAAGTTATTCGAAGACGTATGTCGCTCGCGGACCCGTCGGAAAGTGTGAGGTTAACAGGTCGTGTGGAACGGAATGCATGGGGTATGCATCCGCGGTAGGAGGCTAGTTCGAGCCTGGGGCAGAGATGTCAGAGATAGGAGTGGTTTAAAACCAATGGCATGGTTTGCGTTATGGTCGCACCATTTCCACATTTTCCCAACTTCCTCCAAATTTCTGATGACCTAGATCAAGATCTTAGTCACCAAATTGAACTGAACCATGACGATGGAATTACCAACTCCGGTAAAGCAAAGGTTATAAATAAAACGCACTAGAATTGATGCAAATGCACAATCTTAGGAAAAATCCAACAATGTAATTTTGCCAGCTGAAATCCACATACAGTCACGGGGAATTAAACCCGTCGGGTGAAAGACTCAAATTCGTGAAAGTTGCCAGCGCCGCTCCCAACGAGCTCCCAACGAGCTGGGTGCCCAGGACCGTCCACATCAAGCGGGGAGCACTGGGTTTCACTGCGTGGCGGCGGCTGGTGTCCGGGGAGATCCGAACGCATCTCGCCCCGCGGAGGCACGCAAGGGGTAGCGGCCTGAGTTTGCCGCTCTGGTGACGGGAACAGCTGTCTGAGAACAGCCGCGGGCCATCCACAGGAACTGCGTCCGCAGCCGACGGGCGAGCTGGTCCGGATGGCGTCTCGTAGCTCGGTAGTGGATCCAGGAAGCTGGCTGGGCGCGGTCGACGGAGACAACTCCCTCTTTGTCTTGCGCCGCACGGTCACTCTTCGATGACCGCCTGCACACGTGGAATGAGCCGTGGTAGGGCGGCTCTAGAGGTGTTGCGGGAGGTGCCTCGCCGGACGAAAACATGGGTGCAGTCCGAGAGGTCTTCGGGAATGAAGGCGTTCATCGATGGCTACTGGCGTGGCTGCACCGGCGGAGCCTGCCTCATGGCTCTCCGGAGGAGGTTGACGTAGGACGCCTGGTCCAGCGGGTACTTGGCAGGATAAGTGACAGAAGAACTCCCGTGGGATCCGGAGCGTCGCACCGTAGACGAGCTACGCAGACGTGCAACCTAGGTCCTTTTTAGGGCTGAACGCCCGCCGAGCAGAAACCAATGACAGGAGATCGGTCCAAGGAGTGGCTGCATCTGCCGCCCACAGAGCAATCTTCAGCTGTCGGTGGAACCTTTCTGCCATGCCGTTGCTCTGCGGGTGGTAGCTGGTGCGATGCCTAGTGTAGCCAAGAAGCGCCAACAGTTACTGTCACAGGCCGAACTCACTGTTGGGCACCGCGGTCAGTGGTGACCTGTGCCGGCACTCCAAAACGAACCAACCAACCGGCGACGAGGGTGCGGGCGATCGTGACCGCTCGGATCTCCGTCACAGGAATGGCCTCCACCCAGCGGGTGACTCGGTCGTGCACGTAAGTAGATACGTCTGACCGTCCGACGGGGGCAGTAGGCGGCAGCGTCGATTACGGACGGCGTCAAATCGGACGTCTGGCGGCGTGAAAGCCATTTGTCGGTGCCCGGTGTGCCGATGAATCTTCGCACGTTGGCACGAGGTGCACACCCGTGTCCACTCCTTGATGTCTCGCGCGCATAGAAGGCCACACGCCGGTGAGACGAGCTCTGCGTGTCCCGAGGTTCCAGGTGTGCCACGCCGTGCAGAAGACCGGAAGTACTTGTCGCCGGGGGACTTTCTGGCAGTAGGGACGGAGTCTGCCCGTAGACTCATCCACCACAAGCTTGCGGCCACTTGTCAGCGAACATCACGCAAGACCAATGAGTGAGATGAGCTTATGCAGGGCTGAAGGCCGTCAATCCTGTCCTTGAGCGTCCGCCAGGGCATCTAGGTCGTCTAGTGGAGGCTGCGGCGCCTGCAGCGGGACGATCGTCCGTGAAAGTGCGTCAGTAACAGTGTCCCCCTTGCCCGTTACGTGCCTGACGTCAGTGGAGAATTGCCCGAATGAAGTCGAGGTGCCGGATCTCCCTGGGCGAGCAACGGTCAGAGTTTTGACCCTATCGCGGACACCAGGGGCTTGTGATCCGTGAAGATGGCGATGTTCCGACCGTTGACGCTTGTGCCGGAAGTGCCGGATCGCCAGGTACACGGCAAGGAGTTCTCGGCCGAAGGTGCTGTGCGGAAGTGCCGGATCGCCAGGTACACGGCAAGGAGTGCTCGGCCGAAGGTGCTGTGCCGGAAGTGCCGGATCGCCAGGTACACAGTGAGGAGTTCTCGGCCGAAGGTGCTGTGCGGAAGTGCCGGATCGCCAGGTACACGGCAAGGGAGTTCTCGGCCGAAGGTGACTGTGTCGGAAGTGCCGGATCGCCAGGTACACGGCAGGGAGTTCTCGGCCGAAGGTGCTGTGTCGGAAGTGCCGGATCGCCAGGTACACGGCAGGGAGTTCTCGGCCGAAGGTGCCTGTGTCGGAAGTGCCGGGATCGCCAGGTACACGGCAGGAGTTCTCGGCCGAAGGTGCTGTGCCGGAAGTGCCGGATCGCCAGGTACACGGCAAGGAGTTCTCGGCCGAAGGCGCTGTGTCCGGAAGTGCCGGATCGCCAGGTAACACGCGAGAGGTTCTCGGCCGAAGGTGCTGTGCCGAGTCTCCGCCGGCTCGAGACTCTTCGAGACGAACGACAGCGGCCCCAACGGCCAGCCACGAGCTGCTGGAGAACCGCTCCGATGCCAGTGTCTGAAGTGTCGATCTGCAGATTCAAGGTGCGCAACCGATGTTGGGTGCGCCGGGTCTGGGTAGCCTCCGCCAAATGTTGCTGACCCGAAGAAGCGCTTGCTTAGCGTCGGCAGACCATGCGATGGGGGCGGCGGCTCTTAGAAGCCCTTCTTGCTGAGCAGACGGTGAGTGGGGCCAGTAGAGCGGCGGCGTCAGGTATAAAGCGAGGACAATTCGCACACCATTCCGATGAAACGCTGGAGGTCGTCCTCGGTAGTTGGCTGTGGAAAATCCTTGCGCCGCAGATGTTTGTATGTAAGGGGGGCGATGCCGAACTCAGTGAATTAATGGCCGAGGAACGGAACTTTTTCGGCCTCGAACACACATTCCTTTTCATTGATGACCAGCCCGAACTTTGTCGAATCGTTCGAGGACATTCGAAGGTGTTCGAGATGCTCGTGCTCGGAACTTGCTGGCGACCAGAATGTCTTCCAAGTAGACAAATGTCCCTGACACTCCATGCAGCACCTCATCCATGAATCGTTGAAAGCTTCGACCCGGCATTAGAAGACCGAATGACAATCGGATTCATCTCGAGGAGCCCGAATGGCGTTGTGATGGCGGTCTTCGGCACATCCGATGGCTCCACCGGGATCTGGTTATGTGCGCGGACCAGGTTTAGCTTAGAAAAGACCTTGCAGCCGTAGAGGTGACCGGCGAAGTCTTGCAAACAGCACTGGATATCGGTCGGGACGGTCAGGAAGGTTGCGTGTTCATATCACCTCGGGTTCACCAATGTCGCACTCGTCATTACTTTCTGCGACCGTCAGGAGAAAAGGTGGCAATAGTTGCCCTGTTGTTTTCACCCAGTTGACAAACCCGGGCCCCGTGCAGTGCGATACAAGCGTAATCACCCTGCACCTCACAACCCGTGCTGTCAACTGGCTGGTTGCGGCCGAGTGGCCGGGACTAGCTTTGCTGCGGTGGGTTTGGTGCTGGTTCCGGTGTGAAACCTCGGTGCCGGCGCCGAGTTGGCATCGGCGCCGACTGACATAAAGGGAACGCGTCCAGGGAGGGACGGATCACGAAGAACGATCAACACTCCGTTATCAGGTGGCACAATATACATTATGTTTAGTTAGTTTTTTATTCGAGCCCTTTTCGACCAGAATGACCATTTCAGGGCTATGAGATGAAGGGAAAAAGGTTAACGGTGGGGCGGACTCGCATACGCCCTGGGGGCCGGCCGCAGAGCATAAACCGGGTGCCCGCGCATGCGCGCTGGGTACCCGGTCCAGGCTCTCCTTCACACGGTGCTCTCGGCCACACTTGTCTGGCTGACGCATGCAGCCTGCCCCGGACCAGCCGGGTGTAGCGAGTATGCAGGATAAGGAGGATGGAAGATAAGAGGGACGACTGCGGTGTTATATTCAAGCAACTCTCCACATACATATCAATGGGACGGATGACGTCCTTCCCCGGTCTGCTTGTCTCCCAGACCGTCAGCGGGCTGACAAACCCCCCAGACAGTGATGGCTGGCCCTGAAATATACACCTTCCAACGCTGTCCGCCACTAACATAGCAAAGAACAGGACTTTAAAACACTACAGGTATCACTGAATACCAGACATGTGTAGTCGTGCCACTACGCGTGTTCGAACCACCTGGCTGTGACCCGCTCGTCACAGTTTTGACCCTCGCGCCGCTACCTCAGCAAATACCTACTCAATCCCGGGACAGTATGAGCACGGATAATACTCGGTCCCGGGACAGTATCAGCACAGATGATACTCGGTCCCGGGGACAGTATCAGCACAGATGATACCCGGTCCTCGGGACAGTATCAGCCACAGATGATACTCGGTCCCTGGACAGCATCAGCACAGATCAGACTCTGCCCCTGGGGACTGTTAGGCCGGGCAACCGGATGAAGACAGCGGCACCTGATAACGGGCATTAGACGGTTGCCGATAGGCAGGGTAGGCTGCGACGACGACCGGCCGTACTCTGGTTGGATTCATGTATGGGCATGATGTCGCTTATCTCATGACAGCGCATCACCCAGTGTTGTTCTGTGGCAACGCGGCGCATTGCGCATGACCGTATTGCTCTGCCTCCCGACTGTGTTTTCCATGAGGTCGTGATATTGTCTGGCTTCTTCTGCATGTTCTTTTGTCCTACCATTGTTTGGCCTGTTGTTCCACAACTACCCCGTGCAAAAAATTTCCGAACGCTTAAATGCTGGAAAGTAAGTGGCTCATTAAATAAAACGGATACACTGCTTTCGACGTTGCCTTGCAGAACAGGTGGCTTCGGCACGCCGGTGTCCTGCGGCGCACACATCGCTGGCGTGGCTTGCCGCGGACAGGGCTGGGCCGCACACATCGCTGACGTGGCTTGCCGCGGACAGGGGCTGGGCCGCACACATCGCTGACGTGGCTTGCCGCGGACAGGGGCTGGGCCGCACACATCGCTGGCGTGGCTTGCCGCGGACAGGGGCTGGGCCGCACACATCGCTGACGTGGCTTGCCGCGGACAGGGGCTGGGCCGCACACATCACTGGCGTGGCTTGCCGCGGACAGGGGCTGGGCCGCACACATCGCTGGCGTGGCTTGCCGCGGACGGGCTGGGCCGCACACATCGCTGACGTGGCTTGCCCGCGGACAGGGGCTGGGCCGCACACATCGCTGACGTGGCTTGTTGCGGACAGGGGCTGGGCTTAATCGCGTCGGCATCCGTCACTGCAAATTGGGCACCACTTGGGATTACATTGCGAACAGACGCCCTCGGTGTGTACTAATATTCCGCCTGCCCAATAGTGTCAGGACTGAAGCCATGCTGCTTTTGCACCACCTCGAATAGGACCGTAATTACATAGCACGGTGTTCTGCATGGCGGCGTTCAACAGAGCTGCGGTGAAATGTTTGCCGCAGCCACGGGTGAACGTGAGGCCTATGCGGGCTACCTATGTGAGGAGTTTTGGCCAGTCAGGACCATGGTGATGCTTCCTGGGACCTGGAAACCTTTCGATGGTACCACCGTTATCTGCGCTTGACAATGGGAGATGTGATAGAAATAAAGCAAGCACAGGACTCTCAGTTCTAACTGGACAGCTGGGGTCCTCCGCGCTCGCCCGCTCCCCTCTGTGGTTGAATGCGCGGCTGAGGTATTGCCACTAAGGCAAAGCCCCGTGCACCACAGCCCTCGCCTTCAGTGGCCGTTGTGTGACAGCGCAAATATCCACATCTTCCATCTAGCTGTTCAGCAACTTCGGGCTCATCTCTGCTAGCCTGGAACTCCTTCAACATTCTCTCGGGACGCGCAGTTACACTGTAAATGTCAGCAGTGCTTGCCACCCGGCCAGCGCCGAATGGGAAACAGTCTTTTTATACCGTGCCCCAGATATCGACTCGAAACGATCCCCATCAATCTCCCCGGTCTGACACAGAAAGGGGACACAACCTGCCCGCTATAGCTTGCTTCTCTCTCTTTTTCGGCACATTTTGGCTTTGTTTCGATTGCCAAGAAGTCTTGCCGCTTTGTGTCGCCGCTCAGTCACGGGCAGCTCTGTCACAGGCAGCTCTGTCACAGGCAGCTCTGTCACAGGCAGCTCCGTCTCAGGCAGCTCTGTCACAGGCAGCTCCTGTCACAGGCAGCTCGTCACAGGCAGCTCTGTCACAGGCTTGCCGATGTCGCTGTGTAGGTGAGCCGTCTGAGCCGTGATGCGGTGTATAGGTGAGCCATCTGAGCCGTGATGTGGTGTATAGGTGAGCCATCTGAGCCGTGATGTGGTGTATAGGTGAGCCATCTGAGCCGTGATGTGGTTGTATGGGTGAGCCATCTGAGCAGTGCTGTGGTGTCTGGACCGCGATCGTGACACCGACTGCACGACGGAAGCGCTCGAGGCCTCGAGACGACGATGTGTACTCGTCTGTTTGTACTCAGCACTCGGGAGAGGGGGAGGAGTGCTTCAGACCCATGACCGTAGGTCTTTGGTCAGCACCGGAGCTACGGCGGCGGTCAGCGTCAGGTCCTTTGGTCAGCACCGCGGCTGCGGCGACGGTCGGCGTCAGGTCTTTGGTCAGCACCGGGGCTACGGCGATGGTCGGCGCAGGTCTTGGTCAGCACCGCGGCTGCGGTGGCGGTCGGCGTCAGGTCTTTGGTCAGTAACGGGTCTGCCGTGGCGGTCGGCGTCAGGTCCTTGGTACAGCACCCGGCGGCTGCGGTGGCGGTCGGCGCCAGGTCATTTGGTCCAGCACCGCGGCCTGCGGTGGCGGTTGGCGCAGTGTCTTTGGTCAGCACCGCGGCTGCGGTGGCGGTCGGCGTCAGGTCCTTGGTCAGCACCGGGGCTGCGCGGCGGTCAGCGTCAGGTCTTTGGTCAGCACCGCGGCTGCGGTGGCGGTCGGCGTCCGTTAGGTCTTGGTCAGCACCGGGGCTGCGTGGCGGTCGGCGTCAGGTCCTTGGTCAGCACCGGGGCTGCCGGTGGCGGTGCGGCGTCAGGTTTTTGGTCAGCACCGGGGCTGCCGTGGCGGTCGGCGTCAGGTCTTTGGTCAGCACCCGCGGCTGCCGGTGCGGTCGGCGTCAGGTCTTGGTCAGCACCGCGGCTGCGGCGGCGGCGGTCGGCGTGCTCTGGCGTTCCGGATGAATGCGGTATATTGGGCATCACTCTGACGAACAAATAGCCCCAGATGACGCCGCAAGCCACGCCAGGTGCCTCCCGTCAAGTCGGACAGGCGTCCATTCCTGGTGTCGGTCTCCTGACCCCACTGCCGTCCACGGGCGCCCGCTTCGGGTGTCGTTTCCCTATCACGTTGCCGGTCAGCCGGAAAAACGCTTACTCTGGATGCACGCTCCCAGCCCTGCTACTGCTTTTGTTTGGCGAGACACCCCTCCGAAGTCCGAAGTGCGCCGAATAAGCGTTCACTGGTCATCGCGTATTCCGGACTCACGTAACCTAGTTTATCTAGATGGCGGGTTTCGGCTATCAAGTGGCCATCCCTGACGAGCGTTATTTTTTCTCGTGATCTGGACGGACGGATTTACGATCGTGCTCATCTTTGAGCACAGTTTCATTGCGCTGAGTCTTGTGTTCTTTAGCCCTCACGAATTTGAGCCGGTCAGATGGCTAAAGGTTAAACGCCTGCCGCGTGGATTGGCCGGAGCCTGTACGGAGCGGCCTGAAGGCCGGACCCCAGCGCTGACCTAATGGGATACCAACTGCTGTGTCCACATGCCTCACCGGTGACTGCTGTGTCCACATGCCTCGCCTGTGACTGCTGTGTCTACATGCCTCGCCGGCCGGGCGCCCGCGGCGGCCGCGCTGACTCAGCGGAGGCGCGTACCGCCAGAGGGCGCCACGGCCCGGCCGGTGGCGGCCGGACCGGCCCACCTCTCCCTCTGGGGACTGACGTACAAGGGGTGGGCTCAAGCTCGTCACACATCTGCATATTTGCTGTTTGCAAAGACCGCAGAGTCTTGATAATTTGCCTTGTTCCTGGTCTTTTTCATGATTCGAGCAGTCACCTATGTTCACGAAAAGAACTTGATGTATCTCAACAATGGGGGTAAATACAATGCATTTTATACTTACTCTAGGTTGCATGAAACGTGACTAGGATACTCATTTAAAGCTTGAGTAAGGAGACACTTCGACTGGACCAAACATGAAAGCCCATGTGTAAGGTGCACACAACGAAAGCAGTTTTCAAAACACAAAGCCGATCTGTAATTGGTCAGAAATCATTGACATAGAATCATCGCGGAGTTCCGAATGGGCCTTTCCGGCGCAGAGGCGGGGAGCACATCCTCACTGGTTGTCGTACACAGCAGGAATCAGGTCGGGGCTGGATTTTACATGGGGCTGCCGTCGCCCCTCCGTGACGCCCTGCTTAAGTGGCCGCCGCTGTCCGGCCGGCGGTTGTTTACGGCGGGCCGCTGCGGCGTGCGTGGTGCTGCAGCTGAATGTGTGACGGCCACATCCCGGCGCCGCGACGCGCGGCACAAACACGGCCTGTAGCGCTGACGCGTCGACCCTGAGCGCGTGTCACCGTTATCGGGTGACGTGTTGGTGCGGCGGCGGCGGGGTGGGCGTGGAAGCAAGCCGTCCCTCGCGCGGGTCTCGCCGGACTGCGGCGGCGAGAGCGCACCAGGAAGACGGTCAGATGAGGATGTGGGACTGGAGGTTGCTGGCGGATACCTGCAGGGAAGGTCAGACGTGTGACTGCTGCAACTGGGCGAATGTCGTCCATGCCATGGAGCTAACAGTCGAGAGCATCGTCCACCATCGCTCTTCTCTCCAATTGAAATTGACGGGCTCATTGTCCGCAGCGTCGGCGTCTGTGGTCTTTGTGAAACGAGTTGTGTCCACAGGGTCGGATTCCGCAGCGTCTCTCTGTCCGCAGTGTCCGTATTTGTGTCAGCGGTGTCTGGATAGCACGTGTCGTGTTATCGTGTCCACTGCGTGCTTCACGCACCCCGGTGAGCAGTGACGTTCCCAGCCGGGCGACGCGCACCCCGGCGAGCAGTGGTGTTCCCAGCCGGGCGACGCGCACCCCGGTGAGCAGTGGCGCTCGCAGCCGGGCGACGCGCACCCCGGCGAGCAGTGGTGTTCCCAGCCGGGCGACGCGCACCCCGGTGAGCAGTGGCGTTCGCAGCCGGGCGACGCGCACCCCGGCGAGCAGTGGTGTTCCCAGCCGGGCGACGCGCACCCCGGTGAGCAGTGGCGTTCGCAGCCGGGCGACGCGCACCCCGGCGAGCAGTGGTGTTCCCAGCCGGGCGACGCGTACCCCGGTGAGCAGTGACGTTCCCAGCCGGGCGACGCCGAATTATGGGCAGGTCGAACGTAATGGTCAGCGGCCCGCGGAGGTTCCCAGGCTGCCGCCGCGGCCGGCGCCAGAATCGGAGCCGCTCATCAGCCGGCTGCTGGCCGTACTGACGCCGTGACGCCATGACGCAGAAATCGCTGTCCCGTCCTGGGTCGGCCGCCCTTACAGCATGACGCCATGACACCCTGACACCCAAGTCACGGCCCCGTCCTGGGCCGGCCACCCTGACTCCATGACACCATGACGCCCAAGTCACGGCTCCGTCCTGGGCCGGCCACCCTGACTCCATGACACCATGACGCCCAAGTCACGGCCCCGTCCTGGGGCGGTCAATCAGCCATGTGGAGGAGGCCTCTGCGTATTGATATGCGCAAATACATCATTCGCAAACGGGGCTCGCTTGGCTCTGCGGACGGCTCTTCGTGAGTAGTTCCATGCACCTACCGTCGTGTGAGTAAGTTATGGACAACTGAGCGGTGATCTTTCTTCAAACGAGGGAGCAGCACTTTCACCAAGACTCTCGTCCGGCGTCATTAGCCCGCAAGCTGACTTAAAACATAATGTTTTTATTTTAACCAAGCTTTAACCAGCATCAGCAATGTCATGCTGGTTGTGAGAACCACAACCATAAAACAACGTCATACCGTTCTAAATGAGGTGGCCTCGCAATCTAACGCGATGAGGGACGTGACGCACCAGGTGAATGTGTGTATCGTAGATTATGTTTCTATTGAAGAACTCGCGCCTGACAGCTGTTGTTCTACCTTCGTTGGAGGGTTGGGTTTTCGGGGTAGGGCCTTACGGACCCCTTTTATATCTCGAACTGAGACGCCCTAGATCCATGCGGAAAGGTGGATATCTCGCGTAGAACTACATGACTACAGTGCCACTGAACACAGGCATGTACAAACGGCTTTTAATCAGTCGGATTAGGTAAACGTGGAAAAGTTGGTACGTTTGGTCTCCTTGCATGAACCTGTTGCGCCATGCGAGTAGGAAAGGCAGCGTCGGGCAGTCATTGGCACACTCAGTCCTACATCGATAGGAACACATCAGCAGACCTGACTTGTGACTGGTCGGAACGGATAACACGGCCTAAGCCTCGCATCTCAGTCTCAATCCGTCCTCTCAGGACATGAGCGCGCACAGCCTCCAAACAAGCGACGCGGAGTAAAACTTGGCAAAGCGCGCGGTGGCTCATCTGACCGAGGATGTGTCAAACGAGATCATACTGAGTAAAACATACTCCTGTGCCAATGTCTTCATTTAGGGCACCTCGCCAAGCTTGACACCCGATGCACTGGCTTAGTTGCATTGCATATGGTCGTACCATCATACAGTAAAGTAAGATAGGTGATATTATTGCAGGAATTCCTCTGGAACAGGTTCAGTCCTTTAACAGCAAATCCAGAAAAGTCGTAGGCCGGTAGTCTCGCTCGCTCGTCCAACGTTGGCTAAAAGTAACTAGATTGAGTAACTAGACTAACTAACGTTGGTTGTAACCAGATGAAGCTGCGACCCATCCAGTTACAGTAGCAAACACGCTGGCAGTGGCAGTTGTGGTAGGTGTGCCCCCGCGCTGCTGTAGAGACAGTCCCTCAGTGGACCCCGACTGTCGTCACGTGTCGAGCAGTTGGCTTTGGCCGGTGACACCGGCGAGTGGCCCGCCGGTCGGCGTCGGTTTGGCGGTCTGCAGCTTGTCTGTCATGAGGCCCCGGACTCGATAGGCACGACATGGTCGCTGTCATCGACTCGGGGAGGGAGGCGGCCGCGGGCGGACATAGCCGTTCTCTGACGTCACCAGAGTGCACGGGACGGCGCAGTGCATTTAACGACCTCTACGAGGCTGCTGCGATGGTACGGAGCGATCAGCTGCGGTACGCTTTGCTGACCTTTGATCAGCTGCGGTACGCTTTGCTGACCCTTGATCGGCTGCGGTACGCTTTGCTGACCTTTGATCGTCTGTGGTACGCTTTGCTGACCCTTGATCAGCTGCGGTACGCTTTGCTGACCCTTAAATATCGCCGTTGGTCCACACGTCCTTCCAAAAATGTGATCTCTCGGTAAGACATGCCAAATTTTAATCGCGTGGCGATTGTCTCAGCGGGGAGCATGTTAATTAGGCCCATTTTCCGTGTGGCGGCGGTGCTGAGCTGACCTGGGAGAGCACCACTGGCTAGAGACTACGCCGAGCACTGGCGAGCGCCGCCGGCCCGGCGCCGCTCCCGCGCGCCAGCGTGCCGGCCGGCCGCTCCGACCGCGCCGCCGGGCCGGAACTGCCCGGGTGCAGCTCACGCTCCCCAGCGTCTTGACCGCCCAATCCAGACGAGGGCCGCGCGGCCTCCCAGCGCCGGTGCTGCCCGGGCGGACAGCCGAAGGGTCGGTGCGCCGTGTTCGGCGCAGGCTGCGCAGCGAGCTCACAGCGGCGTGCAACGCCAGCATCTTAGCAGGCGGTAGTGCCGACTCGGCACAGAGCCATTGTTGCGGGTATTGTTGAGTCAGCCGGCCGTCATTGTAGACCAGTGTCTGTGCAGAAGCGCAGAAATGTCTGCAACCCGAATAATCTGATTGACTTTGTGGACTTCGTGGGTTGTTATGGGTGATTTGTGCATGACAAAATTCAGTTCTGACCACTGTCCCGTGAGCTAAGTGATGCGTTTACACCTGGGTAGTCCGAGGCCATGCCAGTGGGGAGCTACCCATCGCCGCGCCCTATGACATCGGCTTGCGGCATGGCGTCCGAGAGGCGGCCAGGTGCCCGGGGGGCGGTCAGGTGCCCGGGAGGCGCCTAGGTGCCCGGGAGGCGGTCAGGTGCCCGGGAGGCGGCCAGGTGCCCGGGAGGCGCCTAGGTGCCCGGGAGGCGGCCAGGTGCCCGGGAGGCGCCTAGGTGCCCGCGGGACGGCCAGGTGCCCGGCATACAGTCGGTCACCCGCCGCCGCTGCCGACCAACCCAGCCCCGGCTCGACCGGTGTCGGCTGTCGGCATGTGGACGCATGTGTTTGAGCGGATTTGCGCCGTTGCCACCAGTGTTGTGTGGGCTGGTGCAATGCCGCCGAATCTCGAGACGGGATGCAACCCGACGCCGGCCCTGACCCGGCCCGGACCGACCCGGTCCGGGCCGGTGCCCCGTCCCTGACCCTGGCTGGGTGCGGCGCCCGGTCGACGGGACTGACGACCTCGGCCGGCTCTGGCCACACTGGCCCGCTGAGGAAGCGAGGGCCCGGCGCAACAAGCCGCCGCCAGGCAGCTGATAAATCCGCCAGCCGCCCGGCAGTTGGAGGCGGCGCGGGAGGCAGGGGCGCCGTCTGCTCGGGTTCAGCACACAAAGCTCCGCTCAGTCGGCTGAGACTGTTGTACGGCAGCGATCTGGACGAGCATGACACGGAGCTCCGGCCACGTCGGCGTCTGGCGGCCGGCCCTGACCACGCCGTGTCCGTGCGCTTTGGACGGAGCGTCACGTGGCTGCTGGACGACGGTCACGCGCGTGCGGCCGGGCGTGGCCTACGCCGGCCGGTGCGGGCTGGACCGGACCGGACCGGACCGGTCCTCGACCCCGGCCAGCTGCCGGCCGGCGCCAGTGGAGCGCGTCCCAGCCGCGCCAGACCGGGCCGGCGAGGCGCCGGTACCGGCAGCGGTGCCCGGGGCGCACGGTCGGCGGGGTGCCGGTACCGGCGGCGGTGCCCGGGGCGCACGGTCGGCGGGGTGCCGGTACCGGCGGCGGTGCTCGGGGCGTCCGATCGGCGAGGCGCCGCTCCAGCCGCGGCACAGCGCCCGATCGACGAGGCGCCACTATAGCCGCGGCACAGCGCCCGACCTGCGAGGAGCCGCTATAGCCGCGGCACAGTACACGGCCGGCGCGAGCCCGAGTGATTGCGGAGCTCTGACTCATGTCAAAGCCGTCGTGGAAATGCAATGACGATCGCATGCGCGTTTCGTATGCCATGTGGCTCCGGTCGGCCAACGGCTATGGTTGTCTGCGGCTGTGGTTGTCTGCTGGCTGTGGTTGTCTGCGGCTGTGGTTGTCTGCTGGCTGCGTTTTAAGTCCACAGCGGTCCGCGTGCCACTGCGGACGCTTCCTCGTAGCGATAGCCCAACAACGGCGTCTTGCCTCGCTGGCGTTTTGGTCAACACTCCTGCTGGGTGATCACAGCCCAGGTGCATTGTTCACTGATGTGGGATCTCATCAAAGTCACGCTTATCCTTGCGCTGCAGATTTCGAGGACCGATATGTGTCAGGTCTGGCCGGATGTGCATGGCGAGGTGTGTCGATCTGACCATGGGATCCGACACCCGCCAGCGTATGACAATACCATAGGCATGACTCAAGTCCCTCGTCCGCCTGTCATGCATTGCGTCAGAACTGAACGTAATGTACGCTTTGGACGTGCGGCATGTTTTCCTCCTCGCGTGTCTCGCTCGTCTCGCCCACCGGCACTGAGGGGTCTTTTTGAATATTAACACAACACTGCGTGTAAAAAATATCAGGAAATGTTACTAGGGGTGGATTCAGTAAGTCAGACGTCTTGTTTGAGTCCCATACTTCCATAATAATGTTTTTCAGCCCACTAAAAAATCATTCAATGTAACCACGCCTTTGAGCTAAGCGCGTGTATTCTCGTTACAGATTTGTTACGTTGCACTATGGCGGCTTCGACCAGTCCAACTCTGAAGGATTTGCCCAAGGTCGCTCCAAACGTCAAGTCGGAGCTGGAGGAATTCACTCCAGATAAGCTGAAGCACACGGAGACGGTGGAGAAAGGAGTGCTGCCCACGAAGGAGGGTAAGACGGCCAGCGGCTCCGCCGACTCCCGGTGATGCCGGCCCACGTCCGGCCTGACTGTGGCTAAACGCAGGCCCGCCGTAGCTGGCTAGATCCAGCAATGGGGCCTGTCCGCCTGGCGGTGACAGTGTCGGCGAAGCCAGCAATCGGTCAGGCCGGAGGGCTGCGGCCAGCACCGCCTTGTTGGCCCCGGCTGCAGTGGTCGTCCCAGCGAGCTGATATCTGTGTTCTCACGCCAGGGCGCCTCGCGTGGCCTCGTGGGGTGTCCTGTTTCGTGACGGCCGCCCGGGAGGCGTCGGAGGCGTCCGCCCGGGACCAGCTGGCGGCGCGCGCGTCCGCTCGCCGAGTGTGGCCGGCATGCCTCCGTCTGTTAGTCACCTGATGGTGGGGCCTTTCCGGCGATCCGACGAACGCTTTTGTCAGTGAACTCCAGCACACCTATTTCCAGTTGACACCACGCCCGCGCGTTGTCCGCCTTTCCTCTTGGCACGATTTTCGATGCACTTGCGCAGTGTCGTGAATTTGACCTCTGCGAGGTCGGATGAAGGATGTGTTCTACTGCACGGTCCATTACAGCCCAAGTCGCGGGTGCAGCGCTGCTAGCCCGCTGCTGCCCTGCCCCTCCCTCACTCTCTCCAGAACCCAGCTGCAGCCAGTCGACTGCCGTAGATAGTGTCCAGGTCCAGCTCAGTCCGAGTACCGTGGTCCGTTCTGTGTGGCGGGCTGCCCGACCTCCGAGCTCGGCGCCCCCTCCCCACCGTGACCGTGATCTGTGCCCGGCAGACGTGCAGCAGGAGAAGACGCATAACGCCCTGCTGCAGGGCGTCGAGGGCTTCGACGCTGACCAGCTGAAGAAGACCGAGACTCAGGAGAAGAACCGGCTTCCGTCACCCGACGGTAAATACCCGGCAGCGACCCGTCCCAACCCACCCTCTAGCCGCAGTGACGGTCATACCCACCACCATCGATCCCATAGCCTTACGAATCACGAATAGTTGCCCAACGCAGCCCGTCACTCGTTCAGTTTGAATACCCATGTGTGTGCCAAACTCACTGGAGCACAGTCGGCACTCATACGTGAGTAACGCCATACGAGGCGCTGCTGCGGCCTGCCAATGCCCGGATGATGTGTCGGCTAACCAGCTGACACCCGCCGCTAGCAGCAGACAAACCCTAAAAGGACTACCGAACAAGCTACTCGCAATTAACTGCAAACCGCGTGGTAAAAGAGCCTGCCGTGCTCCCACGTTCCGTTCCGGGGCGGACGTACGCGGGCTGCGTCTAGTGTGGACGTATTCCTGGCATGCCAATGCTTTAACCGAATGTGGCGCTTTTTTGTGTGTAATATCTGCAAGTTCGCTTTTTTGTCAAAGGCAACCTTTCAGGAAGGAATGCTCATTACACTCACGTATAGTGCAACACGAGCAAGACACACCTGCCATTCCGTTCCTTTCTCGATGTTTTGCTACCTTTGGCTGCCATGTAATGACTGCTGGACAGAAACTCGTAACACATGATATGCCTTTTAAGCTTTGTTGTTAGGCAATTAGTTAGAGGTCATAGCTAGCGATATTCATATGAAATGAAAACCTCCTATATATCTTTTGGAGGATACTTGATTGGAGCCAGAGAGGTTTTCAGTTCCTGGCTTTCGGCATGACGAGTTATATGTGACGTTCCCAATGTTTGCCCTATAACTTCGTTAGATCAACGCCTCGTAGTAACCTGAAAGTCGCTAACTCAGTATCAAGACTTGGACTCGTATTGTATGACGTCGTTTTTAGTCTATTAAAACGTTGTATAGCGCAAAAATGCGTGTGTCGACATAACTGGCATACGTACAGCCTTCTACATCATTGGGTTCGCATTCGTTACGCCCGACTTTGTGAAGTCATGCCGGCGAGTAGCAGCGTCGATTACGCGCGTTTCCCGTCCGACCGGCTGGGAGCGATAGGGCGAACATGTACTCGGCATCCGCCCGCTGGAAACGTCACACGACTGGCTCTATGCTTGGTGCTGGTCTGATCTGATGTCTGGGGGTCTCCGTACTTGGTCTGGTCCGATGTCTAACGGGACCTGCGTCTCGTCTGGTCCGGCGCCTGACCGGCTCCGTACCTGGTGTCTGATGGTGTCTGATCCGGTCCGATGTCTGATCGGACCCTTGTCTGGTCTTGTCCGGTGCTTGACCGGCTCGATGTCTGGTGCTGGTCTGACCTGGTGCCTGACCGGCTCGATGTCTGGTGCTGGTCCGGTCTGGTGCCTGACCGGCTCGATGTCTGGTGCTGGTCTGGTCTGGAGCCTGACCGGCTCGATGTCTGGTGCTGGTCTGGTCTGGTGCTTGACCGGCTCGATGTCTGGTGCTGGTCTGGTCTGGTGCCTGACCGGCCCGATGTCTGGTGCTGGTCTGGTCTGGTGCCTGACCGGCTCGATGTCTGGTGCTGGCCTGATCTGGCGCCTGACCGGCTCGATGTCTGGTGCTGGTCTGGTCTGGTGCCTGACCGGCTCGATGTCTGGTGCTGGTCTGGTCTGGTGCCTGACCGGCTCGATGTCTGGTGCTGGCCTGATCTGGTGCCTGACCGGCTCGATGTCTGGTGCTGGTCTGGTCTGGTGCCTGACCGGCTCGATGTCTGGTGCTGGTCCGGTCTGGTGCCTGACCGGCTCGATGTCTGGTCCTGGTCTGGTCTATCGGCTGGCTGGGCAGCAGGCTGTGTCGGGCCGCCCTGTCAGGTTGTGGCCACACTCATCGAATCCCAGCCCACTGAGTTAGGGTGGTCGCGACTGAATTTCACGTGACGTGATTAGATTACGGTTAGTATCCAGGCCCGATCACATTCGCCCTGTCCCGAGCTTCTGATACAGCCGGTGCCGAGCGACAGAAAAGGCATGGGATTGCCCTCATGGCGCACTGTGAAGCTACTAGCCGGCCGTACAAACATGGCAAACGACAGACTGCTGCTAAGATTTTGCTGATGATCTCTGGCTGTCTGTGACTCATCCCGCTTAAAGGATGGCTGCAGATGCTGGCCCATTGCTGAATGACGGTGGGAGAGGGCAGGGGAACCGAATGTGATGTCCATATTTAGTCTGATTGTAGTCAGAGCAACATTTGCATAACATCAGTCCGGCTCGGTGCCTAATGCGGCCAGTTCCGGCGCCCTCGTCTCAGCCTACACTGGGGGCCTCCTCGCGGCAGCTCCGAATTTGGCACCGCGCTCGCCGGACCGGAACCCGGCCTCTTCCGACCGGCTGGTTGGCGGGCGGAGAGTGCCGCCTGTCGATGTGGCGGCGAGCGGCGGTGCCGGCGGCGGCCGCTCGCGCCGGCCGGCCGGCCCCACCGCCGCCGCTCCTTAAAAGGCAGTGGCGGCCGAAGCCGTAGCAGCGCGGCGCAGCGTCACGTACCGCCGGCCACTCTCGCCGCCTCCCGGAGAGCCGAGGCGCCGCGCCGAGCCCGGCTGTTTTCCGGGGGCTCCAGCGGCGGCGGCGGCGGCGGCCGATGTCGGAGCGGCGCCGGGACGCTGACGGCGGCTGGATCGCTGACACCCGACTGACATATCCGGTTGCCGAGTCATTGACTCGCCATGTGGCGCAAGCGCCGAATGCAAACTGCACGCTGCAAACCGCCTGGGCAATCGTCGAGGAGCGCTCATTTACGTGCTGGTTGTATATATATACATATATATATATATATATATATATATATATATATATATATATCATCTATGCTTATATAGATTTAAACCAACTGCTTTAAACATTTACCATGAACATCGCATCACAGAGGGAGTGCTACAGTGCCATTTTTCCAATGGTGCCCAATTAGTCATGACAATACACAGAGAATCGGCAAGCGCGGCGGACACTGCAAGACAACCAAAACTTCAACTTGCGTCTTGATTTTAAGCCGTCGAGCTATTTTTCGAAAACATCCGCTAAAAACGGAACTTTTTCACAAGGCAGAGGCGTTGATAGGAATTTAACGGATAGCATGGTTGCTTTAACGTTGATAAATTACTGTGGTACAAATAGCATGGTTACATTTTGTTTGAAGCTCACATCATGGGGAAATGCGCGAAATTTAGAGTAGCTACCTTGATTCTCCTTCCTGGCACGGGATCGATAATCCAGTTCTTTTGTGAGTTTCGATACATTATGTGCCGTAGACCTGACACGAACTTGTTGGAATCGAGGGAGATTCAGCTCCACGATCTGCAGGCACGGTGTCTGCTGGCGCTTCAGACGGGCGCCGTGTGAAGTGGTGACGTCACCGTGTCCGTTACATGAGCGGTGTTGGCTGGGCGCGGAGCCGGCCGGCCCGACACCACTTTCTCGCCGTCTGGTGGGCGGGCCGGCGGCCGGCCGGCGAGCTGCGTGCCGTTTGGCGCCGGCGGCGACAGATGGCACTGCGGTCAGGGTTTTAGCCTGAAGTGCCGCATAATTTGTGTCTGTATGTGTTTCTTTATCTTGTTTCCTGTATCTTGTGTGCTTATATGCTTTTGTAAACGTATCGCATAACTTGTGTTATCACTCTGCCGTCTACCCTAACGTGACGTGGCCACCCCAACAACGTGACATGACTACCCCAACGTGCCGGAAAGCGGGACCCCGCGTGCATTTCACGGGGAGGTCGTATGTGCGGTACCTTCCCTACCCATTGAGCCGTGTTTACACGGCATCCCCGTCAGACACGTGCAGACATGTGCGTTGCTTGCATCTGCATGGGCCAGACATAAGTTCGTTGAAGCTCTGTAGTACTCCCGCTAATTATTTGGACTGCATCCGCACGGATAACCACAGACACAGTACATTGTATTTTACATTTCCACGGACAAAAACCTATACATGTGACGAATCGTGAATTTATAGGTGTGCAGTAGCTTTTATGTTGAGTTAAATGTTGCTGATGTGATGAAGAACGGCCGCAGCCTTTAAGCAGTGAATTCTTGATATTACACAACAAAAGAGCATCTCGTGATTCAATACGTAGAACATGTGGGGCGAACGCTGGTAATCAACGTGACGTTTCTTTTTCTAGCGCTCTCTCTTTCTACGATATTGCTGCAAAGTTTTGACTTTGGAATGACCCAGTGGGAGGCTCATACAGCATCCTAGGAGCGGCATTACGTAAGCGCTGTGAGCCATAGTAGTACGGTGCCAAGTAATTGTACGAAATGTAACGACTGGCATATTCCAGTTTTTCTGTGTTTGTTGGGGTCGAAGATGTGTTTTTTAAATTATTATTCTTGCGTTACTCTACAATAAATGTTGACACAACTGTTCAGTCGTTCAGCTGACAAATCAGTTGGGTGCAGCACACGTGCTCACTATATCGTGCAGACCACCCGCGTCCCAGGAATGGCGGGTGCTCGCTTTGTGCTGAAACGGGGAGGCTACGTCATGGGGCTGCACGACGCTGTACATATTCGTCAAACGGCCGACACAAAGGCTTTCCGTCGAGCCGTAAGTGCTCCGCTGAACTACCGGCTATACTTTATGCTGAATGGCGCTGTGTCTTTGCAACAAGATGTGGCGCCCTAGGACTCTAATCCCAGTCATCCCTGCAATGCCTTTGCAACAAGATGTGGCGCTCTAGGACTCTAATCCCAGTCGTCCCTGCAAAACACTCGATTGCATTTCGCGGATCGCGAAATGTGTACAGACCCTTGTGGTTGACTCCAAGCGATCTTCTGCACTGGTGGCCGGTCTGTTTATTCCTGGCACATTTGACACAGGTATCTTAGATCGAAAGACGACTCGACGAAAGAAAGGCACGATTGGCGTCATTTGCCGTCATCCGGTAAGGGAGAAAGAGAGACGGCTGGAATAACAAACAACGCCCACAAGCTCACAGTCATTGTTGGTACCAGTGAACCACCAGTGGTTCACAATCGGCGCCCATGCCCGTACGCACACAACCACTGTAGTGCCAGCTCAGTACCAGCCGTGGACTTACGGGCATCGCTTTCCTTAACATGCGCCCGGGTGGCCGGCTAGATGCCCTTAGCTCGGGTAGGGAGATCAGTTTGACCCCCTCCCTAAGATCTCGGGAACTAAGAAAGCTAGGGACACCAAATTTACAGGGTTTGGTGACCTGTATGTCTACTCGCTTAGGTCAAAGTTTCAGGTTCCTAGGTTATGACCTTCGGATCAAAAAGGTCAAACAAGGTCAAGTTCCAGGCTGGTCTCCAAAGTGCCTCCAGAACCTGAATAGCCGTTTCTAAGAAAAAGATCACATGCTCATTTAATGTCGGTGACCTTGTTTGACCTTTTGAAGGTCAAGGCGGCCAAAATCATACAAGATTGCTTTATGTTTTGCATTTGACTAAGTGACAAAGATTATGCTAGACAGTATGTTCCTAAAACAAAATGTTGACCTGGGTTATTTTAGTTAATGACCTATTCTGACCTCTAAGAAGTCGGTGGATGATGTATAATGCGGTTCCTACTATCGATAAATTCAAAATGAGCACCTGCAACTATCCCATACAACAAGCCCTAGAGTAATAAAACAGGTTGGTTTTGACCTTGGTGCGACCTTCATATCTGACCTTAGATCAATGTAATTTGCTCATTCAACTGTTGTGTTGCCTAAGAAAGCATTTCAGAGTTGTATGGCTTCGTGTAACATTCCGTTGTTGGATCAGATTGAATGATTCCATTGAAATTGCCCTCGCTGAAACCATGGCTTGATTTTGACCTGTCATAGGTCAGCGACCTTACAAGATACATCTAAATCTTTGATGCCAAACGATCCGCTATTCAGTGGCCTACAGCTATGCAAAATTTGGTGCGACTACGCCGCGCCGTTCAGGAACCATTCTGGAAAAACCTTCGAGGGGGTGGGAGGCAATTTGACCCCCACCCGAGCGCGTGTTAAACCCTCCCTGTTTTCATGTCACTACCCAATCTGGTCATTGTAAATGCCGATTTTTATCGTCTTACGCCTTTCAAGGATTATAACTGGGATATCCAGATGCGATTTTTTTCACGTAGTGACCCAGTAAGTGTGCAATCTCTGAAATTAAAAATGTGCGATGACATTATGAGGGAACGACGCGCACATTCTTCACAATTTGGGGAGCACAAGGCTATCCCAATAGCTTCCGCACCATCTGACTTACGTCGATCTGAATCATTTCATGCGATGCTGCTTGGCTTCCTTGTCATCCGTCAGGGCTTCAGGCCCTTACGGGGAACCTCACAATTCAGTGCGGAGGGTCCCCATGCCCTTCGGTCAATGTTTTTTGTTGGAACCACGCCTTCTCAAACCTTGACATCTCACCCTACAAGTGGGACGGTGATTGGCATTGTTCCGGGTTTAGGAAAACTGTGTCATGTGCCCTTTGCATTCCAGTGGATATGCGTGCGTAGTTATCCAAGTACACTGGCAACTTGGTGGCTTGTGCGTCGCTTGTGTGGGACGTTTGCTCCTGTTCACTGTCCAACTGAAGCAATCCCGCACCACTATCGCGCCGCCTGCCTTCGATGGCGCGTTGCCCTTGCGCATCTTGATGCGATGTTTTCCGTCTGTTGTAGACGTGCAGCAGGAGAAGACACACCAGAACCTGTTATCTGGTGTGGAGCGCTTCGACAAGGACTCAATGAACAACGTCACGCCCGAGGAGAAGACTCATCTGCCGAGTCCGGAAGGTGCGGCGGGAGGAGCGGCACCCTCTCAGTCGGCGGGCGGCTAGGCGGCAGTGTGGCACTCTCTCAGTGCGGCGGGAGGAGCGGCACCCTCTCAGTCAGCGGGCGGCTAGGCGGCAGTGTGGCACTCTCTCAGTGCGGCGGGAGGAGCGGCACCCTCTCAGTCGGCGGGCGGCTAGGCGGCAGTGTGGCACTCTCTCAGTGCGGCGGGAGGAGCGGCACCCTCTCAGTCGGCGGGCGGCTAGGCGGCAGTGTGGCACTCTCTCAGTGCGGCGGGAGGAGCGGCACCCTCTCAGTCGGCGGGCGGCTAGGCGGCAGTGTGGCACTCTCTCAGTGCGGCGGGAGGAGCGGCACCCTCTCAGTCGGCGGGCGGCTAGGCGGCAGTGTGGCACTCTCTCAGTGCGGCGGGAGGAGCGGCACCCTCTCAGTCGGCGGGCGGCTAGGCGGCAGTGTGGCACTCTCTCAGTGCGGCGGGAGGAGCGGCACCCTCTCAGTCGGCGGGCGGCTAGGCGGCAGCGTGGCACTCTCTCAGTGCGGCGGGAGGAGCGGCACTCTCTCAGTCGGCGGGCGGCTAGGCGGCAGTGTGGCACTCTCTCAGTGCGGCGGGAGGAGCGGCACTCTCTCAGTCGGCGGGCGGCTAGGCGGCAGTGTGGCACTCTCTCAGTGCGGCGGGAGGAGCGGCACCCTCTCAGTCGGCGGGCGGCTAGGCGGCAGTGTGGCACTCTCTCAGTGCGGCAGGAGGAGCGGCACCCTCTCAGTCGGCGGGCGGCTAGGCGGCAGTGTGGCACTCTCTCAGTAAACCACAGTGTCTCCTGAGGCTCTCCTGTTTGACAGGCCATATACGCGTCGTTATGTGTCGGACTCGCTTACTTCCCATTGCATGTGCAGCTTATCAGTCTTTGTTTTACTTTTAAGATGGGGTTTAGCGAACACGTGATCACGACTTCTGTCACTGACATGAGACGTTTGGTGCACCCTAAAGTGTTCGTGACTTTGGTTTCGCGCTGTCGTCGGTTTTGATAACCGTTAGGGACAGTGGCGCCTCTCTGGGAGCTGCATGATCCGCTGTCGTCGGTTTTGATAACCGTTAGGAGCAGTGACGCCTCTCTGGGAGCTGCATGATCTACACTTGCCCCAGTGGTGGGAAGCGCCTCTCTGGGAGGTGGATAATCTGCCCTTCGCCCGGTGTCGGAAGGCATCTTTCTGGGAACTGGATGATCTACCCTTCCCCGGTGTCGGAAGGCATCTTTCTAGGAGCTGGATGATATACCCATGGCCAGGTGTCAGAAGGCATCTTTCTGGGAGCTGGATGATGTACCCATGGCCCGGTGTCAGAAGGCATCTTTCTGGGAGCTGGATGATATACCCATGGCCCGGTGTCAGAAGGCATCTTTCTGGGAGCTGGATGATGTACCCATGGCCCGGTGTCAGAAGGCATCTTTCTAGGAGCTGGATGATATACCCATGGCCCGGTGTCAGAAGGCATCTTTCTGGAAGCTGGATGATGTACCCATGGCCCGGTGTCAGAAGGCATCTTTCTGGGAGCTGGATGATGTACCCATGGCCCGGTGTCGGAAGGCATCTTTCTGGGAGATGGATGATGTACCCATGCCCCGGTGTCGGAGGCACCTTGTGGACGTCGTCAGTGTCAATGGTGATATGTTTAACTGGCAGTAGGCCTTGCCAGTGATCGCAGCGTGAAGGGATGGTTGGTCGTCCTGTTCTGTGCCTTACGCGCTCCATTGTGTGTTCTACGTGTGTGGGTGTTGTTGAGGCCGGCTATCGTCCGCAGAAATCCAGCAGGAGAAGAAGCTCCAGTCGCATCTGGACGGCATCGAGCAGTTTGACGCGAACAAACTGAAACACGCCGAAACGGTGGAGAAAAACCCTCTGCCTACAGCGGATGGTACGACGACAGCTGTAGCTGTCATCCCCTACCGTGGCACTAGTTGATGACTTTTACTCACGGTTTGGTAACTAGACAGCTGCTGCTTGACATTGCTCTGGAGGGAGCGATCTAATTTGCTCAGATTGAGGTTTAAAGAACAGCCATTGCATATCAGTGTATTTCAGAAGAACGTAGAAAGTAAGCGAAGCTCGGTGTGCGTGCAAATATTTTCTTACGCAGTATCGTTGAGCAGTAACTTGATCTCTTGTGTCCATCCAGGTGGCAGGCATTCTGCTGGACAAGCAAAACCTCCCTGAACAGGTCATTTTGACGTGGTAGATGTCTAAACACGGTGTCTTTTCAGTCCTCTCGTAGGCCATGTACTCGTATTGCACCCAGTTACAGACCCTGCGTACATACGTGGTCTTTGCCTTTCTCAGCCCATCTGGTCTTGATTTCAGACATCAAGGTGGAGAAGTCGGCCTGAAATCGCTACCGGACCAGCCTCACCGGTCGGCAGCGGTCCTCCGTCTGCGGCGCCGTACCACCCCCCAGCGAGATCCGGAATGGTGGAGTTCTACGTGGCTGCATATGGAACTGTAGCTTGGCCGCTCTGCCGCGTGGCGGCGCTCGTGAGCCGGAGCGGTAGGCGCGTGAAGCGTGGGGGCGCGCGGCGGTACGGGCCGGACGAAGCGCCAGCTGGCCCGCTGTCCGGCCCGTCCCCAAGACTGCTTACCTAGACACGGCCAGGTGACGCTGTGATCGAAACGTCTGTCGCTTCTTACTGTTTCTGGCGTCCATCCATTAAAATATGTGTACCTAGATACGATATGCGTGTTCTCGTCTTCCTGTAATGCTGAATACTGAGGGAAACATCAGAAGAATATAGTTTGTACGAAAATATAGGAATGTTTTTTGGGTATGACACATGGCGACGATATTCACACAGGAACCTCGTTTATACCGCAAGTTTTTTCGAATATAGAGGCCGGCCCAGAACATTGTCAGAGTGCTGCCGCGTGCCGGGCCGGGCCGCCGCCGGCAGCAGTCCCACGTGCATTGATTGTCTGTTGTTGGGGGGGGGGGGGGGGCTTTGAACTCCGTAATTGACAGCTTCCAAATGGGTTTAGGTACTGCAGGCCATGTTTCACTAACAGCATCCCTTCGTGTTGTTTTCACTGACAAAATCCACTCGTAATATGCCGGGCGTCAGTGCGGTACCTCGCGGTTACACTGGATAGATTGGCTCGACGAACCCATTGCATCAAACCATCTTCCTTCAGCATGCGTCCGTGAAAAATCCTGTCAATTAAAGCTGTACAGTAGGAACATGTGGTGGCTCCAGGGATATGGCTGGATTTCGCTCCTATTTCGCGCGGGGAAGCGGATTTTGTCCGTGCTCGGGTTTTTCAACGGGTAGCTCCAGCCTGGTTCGCAGCTGGCTGTTGAGCTTGTGTTACTGTCCTTATATATTTTAATGCGTATGGTGGTGAGCAAAAAGTGTATTTAACAGCGGTCAGTCCGTCAGCGATTGGGAGCGGACATTTTGTTTTTATCCTGCGCTGTGATTGTTGGTTACATTTGGTCCAGAATTTTAACATCAGTTTGAGCTTGCCAGTCTCGGTGCCGAAAGGAACGCAGCTTATGTAATCCATGAGACCCGGTTGCATGCCTTAATGGCACGTCAACGAAAGATGTCGTTTTGAGACTGCCGTGTGTCATGACCGACGAAGGGACTCACGACCTTCGGCCACAGGCGACGGAAGGGCGAATCGGCGTTTGCACTGCTGAGTCGTGAGATCTCGGGAAACCAGGAAAGAGTGCCAAGTAGATCAACTGCCACTTATCATTGTATTTCATATAGTCATAAACATATTCACTAGTGGGACACCAGACCCTGCATGTGGTGACCGAAGCAATGTAACAACTCTAAAGAACGCTGAACGATCACAACCGCCTCGAGTAATGCACCATGTGGAGACTCGGTCGACGAGGACAGCACGCGCGCGCCGCTGGTTGGCCGCGGCCGCTCAAAGACGGCCGCCAGCCGGGCGCCGCTGGCGTCGGTGCCGCTTGCTACACTGGTTCACCGTGTGGTACTGCCGCCGGGTCACAGTCACATCCACCGTGTAGTACTGGACCTCCGTGTGCGAACTGGTGATGTACTGCACGACGGGCACGTTCAGACTCTGAGTCTGCACCACCGTCTGCAGACTGGTGACGTATTCGGTCTGGTAGTGCGTCTGGTACTCGGTCGTCACCTTCGTCTCCACCTGCAACAGCGGACGAACGCGCGGGGCTGAGCTGAAGTACATCGTTCGGCCGCCAAGGATTCAGACAACGACGATTTCGCGGCACGTTAACCAGAGCATGACTGACGATTACACTAACGCCGTGAGGGTGGCTCCGATAATCATGCAGTTTCAGCAGAATTGTACAAAGACAATGACGTAATCCGAGACACTGTTTGTTTACTGGCGCTTCACAGAAATGCCTACACCCTGTTCTTCATGCCTGTCTTGGCGTTCGGCAAGCTGTTTGGTTATCTTTTACAAACGTTCTGCATTAGGCACGCAAATGTCAATGTCATATCCCTGCCGGGTTTCAATGCGCTGCTGCCAGCCATTTCTCTCCTGATTTCCCAGTTCTTGTGAAGATGTTGCATGGGCGCATGCCATTTTACGTTCACAAGCGATGCTCACTGGTCGTCACGGGCACGTTGGCTAAGAGACCTGTTTGAACCTTAAGCTGGCCCTGAGCGTGGCCTGAGGGCGTAACAGGAGCCTAGTGTGTGAGCCCACGCGGTGCAGCAGAAATCTGATGGCGCGGGACGAGCCTAGTGTGTGAGCCCACGCGGCGCAGCAGAAATCTGATGGCGCGGGACGAGCCTAGTGTGTGAGCCCGCGCGGCGCGGCACGAATCTGATGGCGCGGGACGAGCCTAGTGCGTGAGCCCACGCGGCGCGGCACGAATCTGATGGCGCGGGACGAGCTTAGTGCGTGAGCCCACGCGGCGCGGCACGAATCTGAAGGCGCGGGACGAGCTGCCAAGCATCGATCAGCTTCGGACCTAGCCAGGCTTGGGCAGCACTGGGAGCCGCGTGCCGTCATGCTGTCGAAAAGATTACCTGCGAAGCTGATCTGGCATCACTCACGTGCCGTAAGACCAAAAATGATAGTGGCGAGAAAAGATTACCGTGCAGCTCGTCAGGGACAGGTTGCTGTTAAGGCCACCAATTTGGTGTTAACGAATGATTTCAAGATTCTTGGAAACTGAATTAGTCTTGTTGATCCTTTACCTTCATTTCATGTAAAATATGTTTGATTAAACGGCAGCAACAACCACAACATCACAGAACAAGCCGACGATGATCTTATCAAACTGTGAAAACATCGGCTAAATCTGGCGCAGAAATAGACTACGTTCAATTGACGTCACTGGGAACATAACCCTTTAGTTGATGTGCTAAATTTCGGATGGAAAACAAATTGGACACCAGATCCAGGACATCAATGGAGATCCTGACGTAACATTCACCAAACGCAGCTCTGGTCGGCGCATTCAAACACCATTAACAACAACTGATATGACTTAACAGAGTCATTGTGTGCTGGACGGATAGATGACGGCATCAGTTATGAAGTACAACTGTTTGCAGACGCCCGCTGATGAGAAATCCATGGTGATATGAAGTCAACGTCAATTGCAGAAGAAAACTCATGGTCATACGAGAATTCGTGCCACTTTTGCGATGCACAAAAAACGGATATGAGCAGTGGTCACGCACGCTTACTCTCCCGTTAGTGTAGACCTTTTGTGCATTTGCTTGCAGTTGATCTCTTCAGCCTCCAACAAAACCGCTTGCTATGCCTAGAGTGAACGCTAACCAAGCAGCTGCTAGTCGCGTTCGGGGCTGAGCAGGGTTTGCTGGTTTTAGCATGCTCAGACTTAAGCAAGTTTGACATTTGCAAAGGTCAGGACATTTTGTAACACTGATACTAGAATTTATGCCCATGCCTTGTAACACCTGTGCACATAGCCGTAACGAGATTATTTTCGAGCCTGTTGTACTCAATCCGTGGATTTACCAGCTCCCTGTGGGTGCACGGAGATTTACCCGGCTCGTGGCGGCATCTCGTCTAGTTTGGACTTGTGATGACAAGGTTTTGTCGCAAATCGATTCGACAATACTTAGTAATTGTGGCATTTCTGCATGCTGCAGAAACTATGCAATTCGCACTGAGGTGCACAAACAACGTTTGAACTGTGATGTTTTCATAAAGCTGGTGGAATTAATGATCTGTATCAAGGGTCAAGGATTGACTTACGATCGCAGCAAATGCTGTCGAACGTTTGTGATCTCATAGAGCAGCCTTGTGTTCATGGCGCACCACGAAATTCTGCAAAGATCCGAACGTGGCCAGCAGATGGCTGGTTTAAGTTTGCTTCAGACGTACTGAGCGCTTCTAATGGACAAGAGAGGTTCAACGCAAGCATATACACAAAAAGGCTACCACAAAAGAGAAAAGCATGCAAGCGTGGCCCACCGTGTATGTGCTTTTATGCAGAAGTGACTTGACGCAATGGGCTTCTCGCCAGCCGACATTAGCAAACAACTGTGCGTTATGCATGACCGCACCGGTATCTGGAGTCGCTTATCCGTTTAGCTTGCACATGTTCGATTGCATTACATCAGTTGGGGTCAATGATGCGCGAGTGAGCCCGTTAGAGTCGCAATATGTGAATGTTAGGCCTCATGCGTGTTGTCAAATTTCTTTCCTGGCCGATATTTTGCAGCTCACCCGCAAAGCGGTACTTCAGATGCCCGCCTTTGGGCGCGCACTATTGTTGCGCTGCGCGTTTGGCCCGTTAATCACCTTGGGGACGTTGACGACGCTGGTGGACGTCACCTCCACCGGATATTGCTGCACTTGTGTATAGGTGAGGTGATCCGTCTCTGTCACCGTGAGGTGCTCGTCGTCAATGAAGACAATCGTCGAGGTGATCACGTCCACCTGGGGAACCACCTTGGTGTGCGTTTTGTACGAGATCTTCGTCTCCTCCCTGTAGGCCGGGTGCAGGTCGCGTGTCTTCGTTTCCTGGTGAACAGCGGTCATCAGGTAGTGTGCCGTCTCAGTGACATACCTGTAGAGCGTCGTCGGCACGTTCTCGGTGCGCGTATCGTACAGTGTGACCGGCATTGTCAGCTTCGTCCAGGTGAGGATGAACTTGGTCTCAGGTCGGCATTTGCCTCCGCTGGGACCGCCCAGGCTGCTGGAATCGTACGCATCGCTAAACGAGGAGTACAGCCTCGGAGCCACCGGTGCTGCTGCAGCCCCATACCTAGGCGCTGCTGGGGGGCCGTACCCAGTCACGGGAGCGATGGCGGGGCCTTGTCCAGTCGCGGGAGATGTTGGTGCGTCATATCCAGCTGAGGGAGCTGGCGATCCACCGTATTCGGGTGCGGGCGCCAATGATACTTCGTAGCCCGTTGCTGGCGCCGGTGATGCAGCATATACAACTGCGGGTGCTGCTGCGGGGCCATATCCGTTAGCGGGAGCTGGTGCAGAGCGATATCCCCTAGCAGGAGCTGGTGATACGCCATATTCTTTAGCAGAAGCAGATTTAGGTGATGCGCCATATTCGTTACTGGGAGCTGGTGATACGCCATGTCCGTTAACGGGGGCTAGTGATACGCCGTATCCCTTGCTGGGGGCTGGTGATGTACCATATCCAGCTTTGCGAACCGCTGGGGCATCATGCCCAATTGCGGGAGCTGCTATGGCACCATAACCAGGTGCCGGAGTTGTTGCAGCGCTATGCACAGCTGTGACGGCAGCTGCGGTAGCATGTTCGGATGCCGGGGCCCGCGATGCGCCGTAGTCTGTTGTCGGAGCGGGCGGCG